AATATATCTTTACCCATACACTCAACTTCAACAGTCGCGCAATAATTCTCAACGAACATCTCACGTGCTCGAGTTCAATTACACACTCTCTAACTGCAGTTCAATTACTCACTACACTGTTCCCGTCACGTTGTGACCATCTTATATATAACAGACTACCCCCAATCTAGTAATCTCCCGATAATTCACGAAGGTTCGAGAGGAGTGGCGTGATACTAGTCACGTGACCTCGCTGACGCAACAATGTATAGCGAGTCTAAAGAATAGGTCTACATCCACTTATTGTATGAGTGTTGTTGTTGTTGATAACAGTCAATAAGGTACGTAACTATAAAGCAAACACTTATTCAGTGCTTGTTTGTAAAATAATTTTAGAAATTAACATTACTTTTGATTAAAACTAACACCCTGGAAGTATTTCATAAGAAGTCATTAGATAATCAATGTATTCAAACTGTTTTATGCCATTTTATTTTATGTTTTAAATCCAATAGTTATAAGGTTACTTTAATGTATTTACAGATGGAAATACCAAACTCCTCTCATGTTTGTGTTATTTGTAAGGGAAGTTTACAGAATGAAAAAGCTATTGTGCAGTTACGACTGAAAGGGTCTGCCGGTATAAACATTGCAAGCACTAAACATCGTGATAACATACTCACTGTTCCAGGGCAATATGTTCACACAGAATGTCATCAAAATTACTGTAATCCAGATGTCATTAAACGTGATAGTAAAACATCTTCACATATTCCTACATGTAAATTGCTTTTACTAAGATCTGGTAATGAGCAGTTTTGCTTCAAAGAACAGTGCTTGTTTTGTGGACAAGATGCAAAATTATCTGGAAAAATGCGAGGATTAGATGTGTTTCCCTGTCAGAACTATAGACTTACAAAACAGTATTACCAAAGTGTGCATTGAACGTGCTGATAGGTGGGCTGATGGGAAGAAGACATGCCACACATATTTAGATATAAACTTTGTAGTATTCCATCTGTACTGTTTGATCCATCAGGTTTTCCAAGGCAACCACAAAAACCAGCATTAGGTGATGCGATTTGGGCTTTTGGAGACTGTGGAAGACAGGAGTCTATTACTGAGAATGTTCAACATGTGTTAGATGGAAAATCATTATTACAGCACATGCCATGGCAACAAGGCACAGGTTTCGCATATATTTGTAATGTGTACGTCGAATATATATCTAAAAAATATGTGGATCCAGTAATTCTGTTTGATGGCTACCAGTCAGGACTATCAACAAAGGATATAGCCCAGATGTGGCAAATGCATGGAGTTTTCAGTTCGAATGTTAACTTCAAAGAAAATACACCATTCAAAGGAAAAAAACACTTCTTAACGAACTCTGAAAACAAACAATGGTGATCGGTGAAGACACGGATCTTCTCATATTGCTATGCTATCATGCTAATACTCAGAACTGTAATATCTTTTTCAAGTCAGAAGGGAAACAGACTACGTACAAAGCGGTGAGAATTTGGGACAATCGACAAATGAAGATGATACTTGGAGCAAACACCTGTCGCTTTATGCCGTTCGTTCATGCTTTGAAGGGTTGCGACGCAACATCTCGCATGTATGTGATTTGAAAACAGGCAGCACTTAAAAACTTGGATATGACCAACATTTAAGGGTAGAGTGCAGAACTGTTTTACAATCAGGGTAAAACAAGAGATGAAATACAAAAAGCCGGAGAACAAGCAATATGTCTGTATGGCAGAGTTCCAATTGAGAGATTGGATTTATTGTGCTTTAGACATTTTGCACGAAAAGTAGTATCAAGCACAACACACATACAGGTACATACACTTCCTCCTACATCTGCAGCCGCACAATACCACAGCAAGAGGGTCTATTTTCAAGTACAAACATAGATCGACTCAAATGACAAAATGTTACCACAAGAGTGGGGATGGTCAGTTGTAGGCAACAGCTTAATACCAGTTAAGACACGTTTACCACCAGCTCCAGAAAGCCTATTAAAAATTAAAAAATGCAACTGTAAAGAGAATTTTGACACTAAACGTTGTACATGAACTTGAGTGTTCTATAGGCTGTGGAGAATGTAGGAGTGTTAACTGTACAAATGTAACACAACTGATAGAATCTGACATACATGAAGATACAATATAAAGAGGACAATGTGCCAGCTTCAAGATAGGATCGTCTGGTTGTAAAGGATATATATATATAACAAATTTAATCCTATTTTAAAATCAATGTGCAATATATTTTAATAACA